GCATGCCACTAATGAAAAAGCGAGAAGAGCTGAAAGCCAACATGTTCATTCAACCAAATCAATTAATATTGGCGTAAATGTGAATTCGATGGAAAATCTGTGTTTATTACTCTTTGCTCGTAATCAAGTCACCGCCTCTGATATAGAACCGTATTGTAAATCTGTTGCTACGCCCTCCCCCTCTTTATCTCTCTCACTCGCTCTATTTCCGTATTTTCCGTAATTTCTATACCTTCTTCCGTAATTTTCGATGTTGTCAAGTCTGCCGCAACATCCAATGCCCGTTCGAATAGAAAAGCAATCGCAGTAGAAAGGTAACCATAAGCCAGCGGCAAAGGAGGAGCAGGTGGACCCCCGAGACGACGCCCATGGCGCCCTTCAAGCTCAAGTTCCGGATGGGCAGTTCGCGGAGCACCTCGCAGGAGCACGATCCCGATCCGCAGGTGAACGAGGCGCTCCTGGGCGCCCAGAGCCAGCAGCATCCGCATCCGCAGCCCCTCCAGGAGGCGGTGGAGGCCAGTAGCAGCTCCAGCCTCGATCTCGCGGACTCCAGCAGTCTCGGCCAGCTGAGCAGTGAGCGCAAGCTGCTCCTGCCGCCCACCACCAACAACACCATGCGAATGGGTAAGGATTGGACACAGTAGCATCCTACACACAGGGAACTAATGCATCCCAAGTGGGTCATCCCATTGGGATACCATAAAAAATGTTGCGAGTACTAGGCATATAAAATACAGAAATACCTTTATTATTTTAGCTATAAAGACCATTAACTTCTTAAAAGCGAGAGAAGGGATATTCTTGAAGACGTCCAGTATTGTATTGTGTTTTCATATGAAATATACAAGATATTTAACCTAATTAATTTTTCATTTTCGAAGAACTTCATTAAGATTAGCTTAAAGTTTACACCTGGTCCTTATTATTATTATAAGACATTGTCTTCCAATGTACAGTGTTCTATACTCTACTAACTGTTTTGAAAACATGAAAAATAGTATAGTGTAGTATATCAAATTGGTTCCAAACAACCAACACTTTAAATTCGTCAATGTTGATTTTGATGATATCAACCAGAAGTTGCCTATTATATAAATTATAATATTTAACGTTTTAGAATTATATAGATAATCGTAAAAGACATCTAAGAATCGTCATATGCCCAAACATATGTACAAAATTATTTGGCAGCTCCTTTTTTCTGTGTAGTAAATTGCATGCTAAGCACAAACTTGACTGGGTAGTTAATTATTAAAATTTTTCAAAAAACTTGTACTCCACGCACGAAACTTCCCACTACTGTTGCACTCACCTTTTTTAAAATCTCCTAAATAAAGTCAGAGTTAAATAGGAATGATTGTGAATTTGTAACACTCTTGTTGTTAGACGTGTAGTACTAAACTGGTGGCTCATTGCAGGATATCTTAACCAGAGCCGCACTCCGTGCATCAACGAATCATTGACGGATACTGATGGGGATACCGTGCCCACCACCCCGCCGCCTTCCTACGAGCATGTGCTAGAAGAGGTGAGTCTACCAAGGATCTGGAGTTCCTACCTTAAATGGAGTACTTTTTAGAAGCATAGTACCAAAGAATCAGGGGTGCTTAGATCTCTTTCCTCAATTTTGTGGGTTGTTTGTAGCAGATAGTTGTATTTAGTATTTCACAATCATTAGTTTATTTTATATCTATCTAAGGTTCGTAGGCGAACAGCAAATATTCTGATTTTTCACACAAATCTCCGAGGGTTTTAAGGATGTTTTGCTTTAATTCCAGGTGTAATATTTATGTAATTCGAGGTAAATCTACTTTCAGTTGGTTTTAAGTCTTCTACTTAAAGTCGGAAAGCTTTCTGTGAAACCGATATTTGCAACGCCTTATTAAAAAAGGACTTTAATTTAATTTCAATGGTTGAACAAAATTATTAAAATTAACAAGACTCGTTGTGTTTTCTTTGTTATATTTTAATTTTAAAAGGATTAGTATAATTAATTCCTTGAATGGTCTTTAAACCGACGATTTTCACACAAGGATTAGCAATGGTCTTTTATCACTTGTTTTCTCTTCTTCCAGAACACTCGGTTGTCCCAGCACCAGCGACAGTTGTCCCTGGACAGCGCCACTCCGAATCAGAACAGCCGGCGCAGCTCGGCGAACAGCTCACGGCACAGTGCCGCCCAGCTGAGTGCCGCCTTGGAGCAGCTGGCCGGGAATGGAGCAGCTGGAGCCGGGGACTTCTGCAATGACCCCGACTGCAGGCAGAATCTGAACAACAACGGCGCCACTAGCCACAGCAGCATCCACATCCAGAACGCCAACAACAACAACGACGGGGAGCAGATCTTCGAGGGCGTCACCGAACTGGAACTGCGGAGCGACAACGAGGAGCAGCTGAGCATCAACGAGTTCCTGCTGGAGACGGAGATGGCGGCCTCGCCGTCGCGCCGTACGGAGGATCGGTATGCAGGAGGAGGAGCAGGAGGAGGATTGGATGAGGATCAGTGCGGCCAGTGCCAGGACGACCAGTGTGCCCAGTGTAGCGAAGAGCGAGCCTGTGCCGAGGGTGCTGGCCACGAGGGGACCTTTGACGGGGATGGGGCCAGCACCAGCAGCCAGGCGGCGGCCTCATCCGGAGGTGGCCACAACTTCTACGATCCTCTCCTGAATCGGGGCAGTTATTCCAACTACAGTGAAGGTAAGCAAGATCTGAAACCATAAGGTGGCATTGTGTTTTAAAAAAGTTTCCACTGTGCGTATACAAATCCAAAGACTAGAGTGCTCCGATGTGTTTGACGCGAATTCTTGAGCTGTATAAGTTGATCTTTGCTTTCTCTTCATGACTTAGTCTTATTTAGGGACTGCCTTGAAAAAATTACACTAGAAATTGTTCTATACTAAATAATAATAATAATTTGGTTTAGGACAAGTGAATATCGAAATGTATAAGAAATATATCATTTGGTATTTAAAATAATACTATATAATATGCTATATTACCGACCGGTTTAAGCCTATTTCACAATAGGTGCTCAGCTTTAAAAAAACTTTGTTACGCATTTATAATTTGAATGTCTATACCTATTAACCGGCCCTTAAGATATAAAAAACTTTAAATATTTTCATGGCTATAATATCACAATGTAGGAATTTATTTTCCAGGCTGCGGTTACATTCCAAAGTGTAGTGTAGTGTAATTCTAATAATCATATCCTTTTTGTTATGGTAATTCATTATATAACCAACTTATACTTACATACTTAAACTCCCTTCCAGGTGGCAATGGGAGTTCTGGATCTGGTTCAGGTCAGTTGTGCCAGGAGGCCTGCTGCACCGGCTCCGCCTCCGGATCAACTGCATCTCGGAGCGGGCGGAGTGGAAGGCGGCAGAACCAACTGAGTCAGCAGCCCAATTGCCACACCAGCCTGCTCACCCCGGAGATGATGAGCAACAAGACGAGCAAGGAGATCTACAAGGACCTGGCCAAACAGTGGGGAATCACCTGCAAAATGTCCGAGAGCTGTCGGTGCATGGAGTGTCAGAGTCACTACTTCGACTGCGACTACGATGATGTGAGACGATCAAGTGGGGGATTCCAATTTCAGATCTGAAAACCCTCTCCCAAATCTTTCAGAATGAACACCAGAAGACGGATGGCGGGTTGGGCGCAGGCACGCCCATGTTTATCAGCGAGGTGATGCACGGATCTGGATGCAACATTTTGTAGGGGGACGACATCCGAAGGACTCCCCAAGGATTTGCTGAACAACTACAATTATTTATCTGCATTGTACATGTTTTTGAGGGAAGCGTCATTTCACGTAATTAGCACTGAATGTTTGCACATTATTTTAAGGTAATGCTGCACTGATATACGTTATTGTAGAGGGAATCGGTAATCGAGGGAAGGAACATTTAAGGAATGCCAATTGGCCAGCCGCTTTAGGGGCTTTAAAAGTGGGGGAAACTACCAGCGAATTAAGCGGTAAATATATATTTTTGGTGTTAACCGTAGGTCTTAGGAGAATCAGAATGGACAATTAGGAATGGAGAAGAAATTACGAAATTAATTGATAGGTAATATTACCCACCTTGCAGATGAACATCTAAATATCCTTGAGTGTGTTCTTTAACCGCTTTATCGGTGAATATTTGGACATTTATATATCCCATTCAAAAGACTCTTGAACATTTTTTTGCCCAACCTTTTGAGCTTGTCATCCCGACTTCTTCATAAGAATTCCCTAGCTGCTTTACCCCCATAATATTTATATGTATTTTTCTAAATGTACAGAAGATGATTAGTAGATTGAACACGACCCCAGAAAAGGTCAAGAGTAAGATGAGCGGCATTCCAGTGCATTTTCAAATCGAACTCAAAGCGTTTTCAAAACAATTTAAGAGAGTTCCAGGCGAAAGTACGTACTCGTAAAACCGGAAGGCCCGCATAGATAACGCTACTAGTCAATGTTATCCACATCAGCAAAACCGTAGAATAAGCATGTCGGCACTTTTGTGCTCGTTTTTAGACCCAAATCGGTGGCGTTTTTGGGAAAAGAAAAAGCCTAGGCACTCAGCAATCGCGAAACTAAGTTAACTTCATCGAAATGACGATACGAACCTTACTTACTCGAACAAACGAATATGCAAAAGTTAGTCTGAAGGTTTATATGGTCCTTGTTTAGAATCGTTAAATGTTCAATATTTGCTTTATGTGTATGCTAAAGAATTTTTCCGAAGATGAAGCTGGTTTCACTCGACAAATCCACTCGATTCTATCTTGAAAATTGCAAAACAAAAGAATAATACACGAACGATAGCGAAGCAAAAACCGACTAAGTCTGTTAGCTGTTAGATGGAAGTAGAAAATTACAAGTAAAATGAGTAGAAAAATGGGAAATCGAACAACCAATCGAGGAAGCCCAGTACATTTTCCAAATAACTGTGTAAGAAGAGAGCCCAAAACTCGCATCAGCCTAGAAATTAATTCGAAATGGATCGTAGGAATTGTAAGGATTGTATTTTGGGTTCTAGGTTCTGGGTATTCAAAGTTGGTCTCCTGTGCTTCAGAACCCTTAGGCGAGAGCATACGAAAATATATAAATTTACGAATATATTAACACCTCACAAAGGACTTTTACCATTTGTGGCCGTGATCCTGCGGAAATTAGGGGTGAATGTGATGATACTCAAAGTGGGTAAGACTTAAACTTACGTGGGGATAAATCTGGCCATTGTTTTTGCACAGAAAGGGATATTTATCGCTGCCATGTACGCCCCAATCGTCACAGGATGACCCAGGGTCACCCGACTTATAGACATACGAGCTCTGTATATTATTAAAGTCGAAGTAGCAGGTCACAAAGTAACAGAATCTGGAGGATCAGCGCAGAACCAAAGATGAGAACTTTTCTACAGGGATACCACCTTACTCACTGGTTAGTCGCTAAGCAGTTGGAGCCCACGGCAACCCCACATCCCACGCGCGAGGCTCGATCAGAGATAATGGTGGTGAAGTGGCCCACGTAGTAGTCCCTGTATCAACTCAGGGTTATCCCAAGCTCCGAATACTATCAATCTGGCCGACACTCACCTGACGGCATCGAAGGCATGGAGGAGGCCAAACGGATCCGTAACATTCAGATATTCGTCGAACATCGTTTTGAACGCTTTTTCACATATCTGCTTTATATCCATCTCTTTCTTTGCGATCACCACAGCAGGAGTTTCACCCACGTGGGGGAACCGCTGGGTGGAGCGGCACTCCGTGCGCATGAAGGACACCGTGGACGCATGGCTGCGCGCCAAGTACCCCAGTTCCTTGTCCCAGATGAGCTTGCGCATCCGCCGGGCCTTCGCAAAGGTTTTATTCGCACTCGTTATCAGTTCTCCGCTTGCAAAACGGTTTCGCATACTGTTCAGCAAATCCAGTACCATTTCTTGAAAATTGGAGGTGTCCGGAACGATTTCATGAAACTTGGTCTTGCCTCCGTAAGCAGGGAACTTCTCCAGTCGGCACATGAAGTGCTCCCTGTTCTTCACGATACATCTATGGGTCTTGTTGTTGCAGTAGTTATAGCCGGAAGCCAGCGACAGAAGCAGTATCACTGGTAATACAAATCTCCAGATCATCTTTACTAAGAATTTTTTAAGTGTACAATGGAAAACGGTTACTGAATAACTGGACGTTAGGCTTAGTCCTGATTTAAAAGTAAATGAACTTTCGATTGATATCGAATTTAAAAGTCATTTTTGGGCAGAAAACATATAAATGTACGAATATACTAAAGACCTCATAAGGCCTAGTCGCCTTGGTCCTGCGTAGAATATATGTAGGTTAAAGTGAAGGCATTAAAAAAAACATACTTACGTGGGGGAAAAGGTCTCCATTGTTCTTGCACAGGTTGGTATACTTTTTACTGCTTGTTGTGTGCCAGTCACCACAAGAGCCAGGTTCCCCAGCCTTATACACATACGATCCGTTTAAGTTGCTGAAGTCCAGGTGGCAAGTCAGAAAGTGGCAATAGCTGGAGGAGTACGACGATCAACGAGGATGGATTCAGTTACCAAATCATAATAATTAAGCCTTCAAGATATTTTCGGACATTTTTTAAAAATTATATTGTCTTTGAAAAAATACCACACCAAGCTAAAAACTGTAATTTGCGTCCAAGTTAATTTAAAAAAAATAGTTGGTAGCTTGCTGTTTGAATATTATATTATATAAAATTTCATGTTTGGTTCATTCTTCGATTTTTAAAGTCATAGGTACACTTTGAAAGGGTTTGGTTTTTGGTTCCTTGGTTGTATACCTACATAATCGCTTTTAGTTGTATGGACCCTACTCACTTGTGAGATGCCCCGTGGCGGCAGTTGGAGGCCACGGCCAGACCACAGCCCACGCGAGAGACTCGATCGCTGATGATATTAGTGAAGTGCGCGCAGTGGAAGTCCCTGCAGAATCTTGCTGGGATTATCCAGGTATTGCCTTCTGAATGAACCTAGCTCACCTGATGGGGTCAAAGCCCTGGAGTAGTCCCTCCGGATCCGGAACCAGCAGGTGCTCTTCGAACACCTTATTGAACATCTTTTCCATTACGGTCCGAAGGCTGGGCTTAGGCTTGGCCTTGGGGACCATCATCGCCAGGACCTCACCCACGTATGGGAATCGCTCGGTGGACCGACATTCGGAGTGGGCAAAGGATATGGTGGAAGCATGGGCGCGAGCCATGTACCCCAGTTCCTTGTCCCAAATGAGCAAGCGCATCCGTTTGGCCCTCTCGAAGGTCCTGTTCTCATTCGTCCTCAACTCGCCGCTCGCGAATTGGTCCCGGAAACGGTTTAGTATAGACAATATTTCCGTCTGTAGGTTCGGGGTGTCCGGAACCGTGTCATAGTACCGGGTAGTGCTGCCGACGGGAGTAAACCTGTGCAGTCGGCACATGAAGTGTACCGTATTACGCTTATTGCACGTATGGGTTCTGTTGTTGCAGTAGTTATAGCCGAAAACTATGGGCAACAGCAATATCAGTGGTAAAACAAGACTAGAATTCATTTTACTAGGAATTTATACAGATGGGAATATCTGGATGCTTGGTTTAGTTCTGATGTAAAAGTAAATGACCTAGGGTCCTTCGATATTTTATTGTTCGCTTGTTTTCAGGAAAATTTGGTGGAAACGTTAGGTGCTATGATGCAGAAGGCATATCGAATATATTAAGACCCGCCATGCAGTTCTCCATCGTCACCTCGATCCTGGGCAGTTAATGGGTTATAATATGCTAATGATAATCAAACGGAAAAACACTAACCGCTGGAAAAAGATCGCCGGTGTTGGCGCACAAATGCGAGTACTTTACGCTGCCAACTGTGTTCCAGTCACCACAGCCACTGGCAGGTTTTCCGGCCTTATAGACATACGAACCCGCCAAGTTGTTAAAGTCGAAGTGGCAGGTCAGGAAGTGGCAGAAGCTGTAGGAGCACATGAGTCAGGAACGAAAGTCCAACTGAGAGATCACCAACTTACCCGACTGTATGGCCTATGTTGCAGTTGGAACCCACCGTAATGCCACATCCAACACGAGATACTCGATCGCTAACGAAGAGAGTGAAGTGACTCGCGGGAAAGTCCCTGCAAGTCAGGGTTATCTTGGGCTTGGAGTACCAAGGCATAGCTCACCTTATGGGATCGTAAGCATGAAGGAGGCCATCGGGATCCTCGACAACCTTGTACTCGTCAAACATCGGTGTTAATAGCTTATTCAATTCATCGATGATGGTGGGCTTGGACTTTTGAGGAGGCAAAATAGCCAGGACCTCACCCACGAACGGAAATCGCTGGGTGGACCGGCACTCGGAGTGCTTGAAGGAGACGGTGGAGGCGTGGGTGCGTGCCATGTATGCCAGCTCCGAGTCCCAGTTAAGTCTCCTCATCCGCTTGGCGCTCGAAAACGTCTTGTTTTCGTTCGTGGTCAGATCCCCGCTAGCGAACGTGTTCCGGAAAGTGTTTATCACGCCCAATGTTTCCCTTCTCACTATTGCGGTGTCCGGAACGATGGCATGATACTTGGTATTTCCAAAGGCATGAAAATCCTCCAGCCGGCACATAAAGTGCTTCCATTTGGCCAATTCGCACAAGTGGGTCCTGTTGTTGCAGTAGTTATAGCCAAAAGTCATGGGCAGTAGCAGTATCACGGCTAGCACCAAGATCAAAGTCATTTTGAGCATAAACCTAATTTAGTTTAAACCGTATTTAAGGTAATGTGAAGTATAAGTAAGTGGTAGGTAATTCCCCCCATTTAAACTAGGCATGGATTTGTCAAAATTGTATTTTTATTGTTATTTTTTTGTTAGGGGTTCTTTTTAGGAAGAGCTGCCACTAAATTCATTCGGTAATAGTATGCAAAGTTATGTAATAAAATGGTTTGAGCGAAGGTAGTGCCTAAATGGCTTTAGTGAAGTTTAATTTCAATGATTCTTTCAATTCTTTATCGTTCTAGAATCTATATATTTTCCTCTTTCGTTTTGCTTGCAAATGGCATATACAGAAAGGTATTTGGGACTCGAAACGAAGAGGTAAAAAAAAAATATATAATAAACTATTTAACATAGAGCAATAGGTACGTGGTTTCGCTTCTTTATAAAAATATCTCGAGAGCTTTTCAAATCTACGGGGATGCTATCAACAGGTAATCAATAGTAACATTTCAACAAACAAATCAGCTTTGGGAATTGTCACATAGCTTGGTTGGGTGGGATGATGTGGTTTACTCTTCTGCTGTCCATGCACATTGGATGAAGTGAGGAACTGCGGTTCCTGCGACTCCTTTCTGATAAAATCTGAATCAAAAATTTCAAGTTTACAACCCGTACCAGTTCTGTTCGATTTATTTATGTTTTGCATTATGCATAGCTCGGTTCGTCGAATTGAAATCGCTTATGTTACGGCTATAGGTGTGTATTATCTATGCAAGTTTCGTTATAGAACTGCTATGTACTCTGATGTACTGTCGGAAATACGTATTGTGAATGCAACTATTAGTATAAGGTATATAATTATCAGTTGATTTCCTAGAAAATTTCCAAGTTCAAATTTCACTCTCTCGCTTCTCGCGTCGCATGCACACGTACAAATATATATAAATGTCTATATGTGTTGTATATATATATAGATGACTTATACAGGGAGGCACGTAATTTGAAACAGAAGCGCCCTTAACAATGGGGAAACAATCTAAAACTAATTAAAGCGTGTGTTTACAAGTAGGGGTAACTAATTAGAATACTTCGTATGTACAACGCCATCCGTTTTGATCCAAGGAGTATGGATCCGGATAACAAAGGGTTGCCTGCCATCGAACGACGACTACGAGACTAGATCTTGGAGACACGCGCACAGGCTTACATTGGTCGTATAAAAAATATATCAAGCTATACACTGTTTGTATCACTAACGAGGGGGGTTCAGATGAACATGAACTGCATCCTAGACGCAGGTCGAGGATGCATGCGACACACTGGCCGCCGATGCTGCAGCGGCAGCAGCCGAGGAGGAAGCCGCCGAGGCGGCCTCCAGGTTAAAGTCCTTGCTGCGGCAGCACATCTCGCAGATGCGCTTGGTGTCCGGATTGAGGAACGTGCAGAAGCTGCAGCTCCACTCGTTCGGACTGGTCACGATCAGCTGCGGGGACACGGCCGGCGGTTGTTTGGGCACAGCTCCCGAGCGATGCCGTGATCCTGTTCCCCGATTGTCCACGATGGCCGTCTTTAAAGCGGACTTGACCTTCTTTACGCCGGCACTGCTAGTATTGGGCAGAGGACTTGGCGCTGGGGCCTGCACTACCTTTGCCTCGCGTCGGGTTGTCCCGGATTTCTTCTCCAGCGTGCGTGCCTTCTCGCCATTCGTGGGTTTTGCGGCCTCGCGTCGCTTTTCCGGCGGAGGAGCTGCCGCTCCGCCATTCGATATAGCCAGCGAGTCCAAGTCCAGACTCTGAACAAGTAAGTCCTCGCGGTCGCCCAAGTCCTTAGTGTAACCCGAACGCTCGAGGTTCTTAAATACATAGTTCCAGGACTCGAAACTGCCGACGCCCTCCTGAACCTTGGGCATTAGAGGCGGCGAAGCGCTTTCCAGTGCCACAAAGCCATCCAGGCTGGCCGAGTCGTAGCTGTTCATGTCGGAAATGGTGGTGGGTATATCACGTTCGTTGCCCGATCTCTTCGCAGGAGCCGTTCGACTAGCCCGCTCCTTCAATTCCTTGTGCATCTTGCGATTATTGTCCATGGTATTCTGTTTCAAGAAGAAAGAAAAACGAAGGTAAGGAATCTTTACGAGTCATAAGGAACCATTTTGAACTCACCTGCTTTTCCGCTGATCGCGGATGCTTGTCAGTCGGATTAATTCCCCCCGCCTCGGCCAGCGCCCGCATCCGGCTGCTCTTCGGGACCGGGCGTGCATAGATGTACATGTCCTGGGCCGTTGGCGGTGGCGCTTGTGGCAACGTGGTGGGCAGATCGTAACCGCCATAGGTAGCATACATTGCAGCCGGATTTCCCCGCATGCTTGGTTGCACCTGACCCCTCAGTTCGGCGTACTGTGGATCGTAGTCGTGCGTCCCAAAGTCGTGCTGGGTGAGATGCGCCCGCTCGTCAAAGTCGATGAGATGGTGGTCCGGCGGATAGGTGCTCTGCCGGTGCTGCATAGCCGCCAAGGCGGCGGCGGCAGCTGCAGAAGTACTCGGCTGACGCCGATGGAAATCGCAACTATGGGCGGGACCAGTCTTTCCCAGCGTTGCGTACATATTTGGGTGGTCACCACTTCCATAGACATCGGCGGGTGCGGTGTAAGGTGCATTCAGCTGGCTGGAGATGTTGTACGGCAGCGGATAACGATTTCCCGGAGCATTGTAGGCCCCAGCAACGGCCGCGTAGGAAGCCGTGCTACCCATACTCAGGCCATCTAGGCAATCATAGGGCGCCTCATAGACGTGGGGAAGCTGACACTGCTGCTGGAGCTGCTGGTCGAAGGAGTGACGATGTGGCAGATGGGAGTGCGGTTCCTGGTAATGCTCCAAGCTGCGAGAATGCGTCATGAGCGGACCAGGAAGATGCGGCTGCTGCGGCGGAGGCGCTGGATACGGTGGCAGATACTTTCCCACCTCGTTTAGGCCATTTGGATGCAGGGCGCAACTGCCGGAGCTGCTGGGATGATGAGCCAGGTTGTTGCCATGAAGAACACAACCGGCTGGCGCAACTGTCGCCACGTTGCTGTAGGTATTCTCCTGCACTGGCGGAGGCTGCTCCTTGCGCATCCGTTTCTCACTCAGCTGGCTGATCATCTCCTTGATGGTCCTCGATGTGCCGCCCACAATTCGCTCGCGGTACTGCAGTATGTCCTTCCAAGTGCAGCTGTATCCCGCCGCCGTGACTCCGGCATATATGTGCTTCATGATCTGGCACTCCACGTAGGCGGCCATGGCGTCGCGCGAAACATTCGTCACCTGATCCGGACAGATGGGACCCTCGAGGACGAAAGTGTCATCGGAAACCCTGCGATATCCCATGGCCAGGAAGAGCTGCTCGGCGTCCAGCAGGCGGGATTGGATGTCGTGCTGAAAGCATCCCGAATAGGTCTGCAAATAGATGGTTTTGTGGGTTAGTTTGGTGTTGAATAACATAGAATCCCAGGGAATCCACCTTGAGCGTGCGATATTCCTTCCGCCAGGGTTTCGTAAACAGGTTGTTGGCATACTGGCTGATGGTCTCGAATGCCACGAGGGCATTCTGGGCCGAAAAGTCGGGCAGCTCGCGCACGGATCGTCGCAGAACACGCCCGGTTTCCGGCAGGAAGAACTTGCGATCGTGCTGCACCACGCACAGGAACTCCTTTAGGCAGCCTGTGAATAAGAGAAGAGATTAGTTATACCCAAAATAAGAATCAGGTGACCAACTCACCCTCCAGCTGCTTGCGTTCCTCGAGCTTCTGCATGCTCTCCTCCGTCTCGAGGAACATCCAGTGGCGCCGGAGTATCTCCTCCCACAGATCGGGGAGGAGGTCGCGCGGCACGAAATCTGACATGTCGGGCTAAGGACTCTCATTCAAGGCGCCTCCGGTTCCTGCAAAACAAAGCAGCAAGGTTACACTACGGCAAACATCTCGAGAGCCTTGAGCCCTCGCTATGGCTATTGATTTTCTACCAAGGGGATGAGGATGAGGATGAGAATGCACTTGTCTGGCATGAATCACCAGAATCATATCTTACCCCGCATGACGCACGCAATCGAACCATGCACCAAATAAATAAATAGATAAATAAATAACTATGTTCGCAAGTGGAGTAACAATAACTGGCCAGATAAGAGCAAACAATGGGCTTCCATTGTGGCCCGTCATCGATAGTGGCATTCCCGTAGCCCTTATCAATTTCCTCCCAGCCAACAGAGCACCAAACCAGTTGTAACCCCCCTCGACGACAGAAACAGTTGACAACAAAAAGCTCACCGGAATGCTCACCTATGATTACGTTTGCTTTAGTCGGAACAATAATATGAGAAACAATTCCATATATGGAATACTAAGTTGTGGAAGCTGAGTCATTGGCAGGGAGACATTCCGGGGAAATAGTTTTATAGGGGGTTCCCCGATATTTAAAACACTAAAAAGCAGACCAGTCTTTTTGTTTGAATGTCTTTTCTATAGAAGTGGTAATTAACATAATTTAACAAATAAATAAAAATTAGTTTGACTTAGAAAATATGTACATACATTCAATCTAAAAGTATGAAATATATAAATATACAATTTATAAAACAAAATCAATTAAAACAAAGGGTTAAATCGTTAATCTAAATTTAAAGTCTTTAATCTTATCTAATCTTTTAGACACAGGTATTTGGAAATAAAAGTAATGAAACAAAATAACATAAAAAAAACATAATAAAGCATTTCTTTTGTGTTTTATCGTTTAGTCATAAGTGTTAAGTAGGCGACGGATTGATTACGACAAAATAGTTTAGAACTTGTCTACTTATTTCTGTTTATACATATATAAAAATACGTAAGATAGTGAGGTGAAGGTTGGAAGATGTATATGTAAGTACGTATAGCTATTGCCTACTAAACTGACAGATATTTTAAAGCACATACATATGCTAATTATAGATAACGTTGAAATAGGTACGGTTTTTACCTATGAAGTGTTTTAAGCATTCACCCTTTACTATATATTTAGTTTTAATTAGCAGATTAACTTGACCGAGGAAACGGTTTACTCATGTCTCCCCTTGGGAATGGGGTATTATCTGCTCGCTGACCCGAAAGAAAGCCTACAAATGCTCTATTGAAACCCTGAAGCCCCTCGAAGAAATCGTTCTATCTCTCCGCACAAACTTAAAAAGAAGAGAGCCACTTGACTGGGCATCTTGATATTGATATCGGCTATCGTGTGAGCCAAAGATCGTCCGTTGGCCTTTAGCATTCGATATACGTATACCATATACCATATACCAGTCGGGAGAAATGGAGAACTTGGGAACCTCGAGAAAAGAGAGCTACGTTGAATAACCTTGGGAAGTGACTCACTTGGCGGTTGGCGCTCCAATCAGAATGCGAACGAGAGGCAAAGCGGGCGAAGAAAAACAAGTGTAATTGCGAGTACTGCCGACTGAGTAAATGGCGAAAAGGAAGTAAAAAGAACTGAGCAAATCGGGGTGTGAATGGGTGAGAAAAGGGAACAGAAAAAACACCAGCAAAATTTTAAGTACTGATAAGAGAGTTGCTTTTAAATACATTATATATAAGAAAAAACAAAATACGTACTCTTATCTTTTGTTAAATTACATACGAAGGAAAAGAAAACGTTTCGGTTACAATATAACCTCTTTTTTAAATAAAGGGCCGAACCTATAACTTCTTTATAATTTAATTTACTTGTAGAAAGGAAATGCTTGTAACTATATTTTAACACTTGATAAACTGACAATTTATTTTGAAGTTGCTAGGGCTATAACTTTTTGACTGGTCAAACTGAGGAAATCCGGTATTAATTTACAAAGTGAGCTAAGAATCTTGAAAGGTGAAAGGTTCCCAGGATTTATACTCTTAAAAAGTAAAGGCCCCTTCAAATTAATAAACCATCCATGCAACTGATAGCTTCCCCCATCCAATGCATTTTAATTAATGTGTTCCAGTGTTGAAATAGCCATTTGTTCGAACACATTGTTGGCAGTGGAAATATGCAAAGGGAAAGGGAAAAGCTGGGCCAAAGAAAGTAATGCTTTCACGGGAAATAACATAAATTCAGAGGCCAAATGAAGCAAGATGATTACGGGGCGAATTAAAATCAATAGCTTGCATGCAAGGGAAGTAATAAGGCTTTGCCAACTCGGCAGATTGAGTGAAAATGTGGTCAGTAGATGTGTTTATTTATTTACTTTAAGTAACCGACAGCCATGCAAAAGCATATGTATATGTATATACGAGTATTCGCACTCTGGCTATAATAATTTCATGGTATTTCGGCTGCCTGCATGACGGGTAATTGAATTTTCAATATTTATTGCCCGGCCTGTCGGTTGAATCCGCAGAGTGGACACATAAATGCCTGCAGCCGAGTGAGAATGCCTTTGGATTGGGCCGAGAATGTGTGCTGACATTACAATGGACGCAATATGGCAGGGATTTGAAGCGTTTATTGATTTAGGCAGGACTCCAAGCCAAAGTTTGCACTGAGGCTCGGCTCCGAAGGTATCGATTGGTCAGGATAACCCATGCAACAGTTTCCAATGGCCGTCGAGACGAGTCATCTGCCCTGGCGAAAGATATACGCTATATACACAAACTGGCCATCATGGGCGATTATACATATATGTGTCTGCCTACCGGCAACGGATGGCAGGGTGCTCCCATTCTTATTTTCAGCAATGCGGCACTAAATTTAGCAAATAAAAGCTCACCCGGCTCTTTGGCAGGCAGAAAGTTAGCAAAGATATGGGATTTCGAAGAGGGGATACCTTGTAAAGATACTCGACCAGACCTATCTCTACTTTGACAGGTACATTGAAGTATAAGATGTTCATCTTTTACACATCATTATTAAGTACTGATGGATGGTAAACATTTTTCTCTCAGTGCACTTCTTATAGAATAAACAAAGTGTTCGACTGTTCATCCAATATCTGGTAAAAGTGAACACAAGGAAAGAACAATCCTTTTTGGTTCACTCTCCCACCAATCCACACTGATACCCTGTAATCCAGGACCAGGAAGTATCCGCTTTAAACTTACGCAAATTCCCAGTTGTCTGCTGGCTGCTCGAACACTCATTTTTGCATTTTCCTCCCGGAAAAGTCCGCGCGCTGGAAAAGTCAACACAAGTTCACCTCTCCAAAATTGTGCGTGGGTGTGGGTGGATTGTGGGCGGGGTGTGGGTGGTGATTTTAGGGGGCGGGGAGCGTGGGTGGGTATATTTTTAGCCCTCCGACGGAAACGACGGCTACGCGATAAGTCGAAGATTCTGCTTCCGCAATGTTGTTGTTGTTTTTTGTTCGATGCTATTATTATTAACAAATATTACGCTGTCCACGAGCTCTTCTTCTTGCTTGTTTGCGTTGACAAATCTTGCTGCGCTTTCACAATCAAATCAAATCAAATGGAAAACTCGTTTTTCCGCTCGATTTTTGAGACTCGCACTTTCGCTCGTGAATCGTTTGTGCTTGCAGGTAAATGGAAAGTCTTTGTTTTTCACACGCGTTTATCACAATGGTAAATAAAATACGAATTAAATCAGTTCGCAGAACTAAACTTTTAACTGTGAGAGATAACCGCATACTGAAGTGGTGAAAATCTTGAATACGGCGACATGAGCGTTCGCGGAAAATACCAAATTCTGTTGTTACTAAGCTTTCTTATCAGGGGCGCAGGAAAAGGGGTTTCCCTTTGAACTGTTTGTCCATTTAAATGGAAGATTTCTTGAGGGTTTTTTTTTTTAAGTTAACACCCCAGCATTTTTAGTTCCTAAGAATTCGGCTCCATGTTCATTTAAATTTATTATATTTATATATTAATGACATATAATTAATTGCTTGAAATTAATCTTATTTTAGATAATTAAACCTATTGTTAAGTACTCACTGTCAAATTTGAGTTACATTACTTATAACATTAAAACCTATTTGAAAACATTTCTTGTCATACTTTTAGGACAAACAGAATATATGTTGTGCAACAAAATTTATAAGTAGTATATATTTTTAATGTATAAAGATCCTAAAAAGTACAATAGAAGTATAAGGAAGTCCTGAACTCTGTGTCAAAAACCAAACAGTGTGATTCCCCCTAAAATATTAGTGGGTTTATATATTTTGGTATTTTTTTTGAAGTTGGCATATTCTGGCGGTCCAGCTGCGGTCTTACCGAACACATTTTCTTGTTTTTTTCTTTCGTGGAAATGGAAATTGATTTGGGATTCGCGGAAAAAAGTGACGATGCCGCCTGGCTAAGTAACCGTTACTTTCCCAGCAAGTTGGGTGGACAGCCAGCCTGGCTGGAACTGGACTTACTGCCGTCCACGTCGCAGATGCAGTGCAGCAAGTGCCAGGCTCCCAAATCCTTCCTGGCCCAGCTCTACGCCCCCTTCGAGGATGACTTCAACTTCCACCGCTCGATCTATGTGTTTCTCTGCCGGAATCCCGACTGCCAGGAGGCCCAGAGTGCGGGGTAATCCTGTCCAGCAAAGGTGGTCAATTAGAGAATTAATTTTACTTGCATTTCCAGGAATTTCACAGTGCTGAGGTCACAGTTGCCGCGTAAAAACAAGTTCTTCGCTGAGGAGGAGCCAAGCGATGTGGGAGGTCCCTTGGTAGGAATAGCATCCAAAATCTTAAAGCTCCCTTTTACTTATAGTATTTCCTTTTAGCCCTCCGTTACCGGCCCGAAGAAGTTGTGCGCCGCCTGTGGATGCCATGCTCCTCACGCCTGCAGCAAATGCAAGGCTATCCACTACTGCTCCTCGGAGCACCAGCGGGCCCACTGGCCACAGCACAAGCCAAACTGCGGAGCATCAGGAGGATCCACTGCTAAATCTCTGCCCCAAATAGTCTTCCCAGAATTCGAGATTGTGATGGACAGCAATCCCATAGAATCCGGAGAGGAAGACAAAGACGACGAGGCTCGCTTGGCCGAGTTTCAGGAGCTGGAGGCCAGTGGTAAGACGGGAGACCTGAGCAACGTTTCAGAGGCGGAGATGGACAAGTACTTTGGAAACAATACGGCTGCCGATGACAAGACCTTCCGTCAGTTCAAAAAGCAAACGGCCGCCGAACCCGATCAAATTGTGCGATACAAACGGGGTGGTCAGCCGCTGTGGATCACCAACGTGGCCACAACTGTGGAGGATCAACTTAAGGAGCTGCCCAACTGCGCAGTTTGTGGAGGTGCCCGCCAGTTTGAGTTCCAAATCATGCCGCAAATGCTGACTCTACTCGAAGACGAAAACCTCGACTGGGGCGTCCTGGCGGTGTACACTTGTGCCAAGAGCTGCCCCATCGAGGGCTACGTGGAGGAGCTGCTTATCAAGCAGGACATTGCGGCGGAGGAACAGAGTTGACATTAAAATGCATACATATAAATTTTATTCTTGTCAATTACGGAACACATGAACGTCTACTTCAGCTTAATGATGGGGAAGTAGCTATGTTTGGAGAAGTCAAACTCTGGCTGGCGCTTCACTTCTTTCTGGTGACCGCGGGCCAGCACATTCATTACCACAAAATTGGTTCGAGCGATTTGCAGCAGGTCCAACATCTAAAGGAAGCGAAACTCGTTAAAATACATAATTTACTTTAACATATCCTTTAACTTACCTCCTGATCGGGATTCTGAATGCTCTCAAGGACATTGCGCGCCTGGTCAAAGTGCTTCGCCGCGTAGGTGTACAGATCCTCGACGCTGGGTCGCATCATGTGCTCCCGGATGTTCTTAAACTCTGCGTACGAGACGGGTGGCGGACTAGTGAGGGTGGCGAAGGGCAGGAAGCGACGATTGTAGCGGATCTCCTCGTTGTCGAACTTGGATAGCGGCAGGCGCACTCGTCCGTCCTTGGTCAAGGCGCCCATTGCCTTGTACATTCCGCCGCATAGACTGAGTAATGCGTGGTAGAAGACAATTTCGGCGCGATAGGGTCGCTGTTGCTTTTTGTTCTTTTTCGGCTTGGCCGCCTTTCGGTTCTTGCCCGCTCCAGCACCGCCTGACTGAATCTTACTTTGGTGCTCGGCATACTCCTCCTGGGCCAGCAGGATGTTCTCCGTGCGTGTCAAAGCAGAGACAAGGAAGCCGATAAGGAACTCGTAGGGGTACCAGTAGATGTAGAGGAACTCATGCACAGCATAAAGTTCCAGTTCGAAGCCGGACATCAAGAAAATCAGCATTGCACGAAAGCAGTTGTACAGCACCCAGGTGGAGAAGTGAGTGCTGTGCTTCAGGGCAGTGGCCATGGGCTCGTTTCCCTCCATGGCCCGCTCGTTGGCCATTTGGTTCATCAGCGAGTCCAATCGCGCTGCATCCACTTGGATGGTGTCAAAGTTTTCTATCAGTCGAGCCAGTTTATCACGCTGCCTGGCACGATTGAAGCCACAGATGCGGATAAACTGCGTAAAGGTGTTCATGTTGATGCAGTAGCGAAAGAAGTTTTCCAGATGCTGCTGCACCTTGGGATCGGCGGCCACTGGATGCTTGGCATTCAGCACAGGCGGCGAGTTGAAGATCTGCACTGAATGACGCAAGAACTGCTTCATAGGAAGCTTTCCATGTGCAACCCGCATGTTTGCGCTAAACAGGCTCTGCAATACGCTTCTGGACAGGATGCACTGGCCTGACTTTTTGCTGTACTCGATGAAGAAGTTCTGTAAAGGAATATTGTTACTACTTGCATTATTTCCAGTCAACATTTCACCCACCAGCGCAGAATAGTAATCCTTGTACTTAGTGACTTTGCAGGCATATTTAAAGCGGGAAATCATTTCCTCCAGGAACTGGTAGCTTGCCGGACGATCCCTAATCTTGATGCTGCGCGGAAATGCGGGAGGCTGACTGCGGTCGTGGATGCGTGGCGAGAAGCCCATTGGATTGGGAGCTTCAGCTGTATAACAACAAAGAGAACAATTACAATATACGGTAGAATTTTGTTTGGGACCACTTACAGCCCTTCTCGGGTTGGGTGCCCCGGTCCAGGGTGTTCCTTATGCCCGGCAGCATCTCTGAGGCCACAAGCAGGATTTTGTAGATGTCAACCTTGTCATCGACGGTGTCGTTGCTGGCCATCTGCTCGACGTGGTAGATGACCTGAAAGAGGTGGCGCATGAAACGCAGCCGGTGAACCACGGCCATCCAATCCTCCGTGGCCGTTAGTTTCTTGCACTTGCGTATAAGCTCGTCCTCCACATCCTTCAGTGAACTGTAAACAGCGGCTGGTTGTGCCTTTTCCGCAGCCAGAAGAGCAGAGTTTCCGTACAGCTGAAAATCCTCCTCCTCGTTGACGGCGGCCACGGCAACGATGTTTTTGATGACCACGATGAGATTGCGCACGGCAGTGCAAAAGACGCGTAGCGCCTTATCCTTGATCTGCGAGGGAGCATGCAGATAGAGACAGGTGAAGAGCACCTGGTCCATGGAGTTGCCCTCCAGCCAGGACACGAGGCAGGAAAACAAAGCATCATAGATGCCAATCAGTTCGGAAGGCGTGAGATCATCCAGTTTAATGGCGCCGGTCTGGAAGGGTCGGATATTAGAGGATTTAACTTAAGATAATGAAGAGGAATCTCACTGCAATGGCTGCCTCAAAGGAAGGCGGCGGCAGGTCCTGCTTGTCAAAGCCCATGCCCACGTCCATTTTTGGATCCATAATCTCAATGGCCGACATGGCCTCAAAGAGACCGAAGAGCATGTCCTGGGCCAGTTCACCAGGCTGTAACTCTGCACAGGCGTCGTGGAACTCCTTAGTGACGTCCACCCAGCCGTGCATGGGGTACTGGGTGATGTCCTCGGCGGCACTGCCACTCCGCATAGTGCGCTGCACCTCCGGGTCCAGGAATCCGCACTCGCCCACGCTCCATTCGTCCTGCTCCGAGCTGCTGGCCCGAGCAGCTGCCGCGGCGGCTGCAGTGGCCGCCTGGAAGTCCGGAGGCTCCGCAACGCTGCTGTGGATACATAAATAGATTGTTTTACTCTATACATATGTATGTAGACATCTGGGGGTTTTTGCCGGTGGTCTTTGGCTCACCTTCCGTTCATGGTGCTCGGTTCTTCCCTGTCCGTCAATGTCAGGGTCTATGTCTTCTATAAATACAGGCGATCAACCTGTGGCTCGATTTTGCCACAAAGGTTCTTTTATTTATAAAAGTTATACTTTTTTTATGAAATATATGTAAAAAGAAAACATATGTAACTTTCGATAACGATGTCGAGCGATTCATCGATGTTTTATCGAGTACACCCTCCTGGCATAGCGGGGACACCCACCTCAGACTATCCATCATCCTTTGATGTGACTTTAAACTTTCTAACGGTTTTTTGCCGGATTTCCAAAACCGAATAAGTTCTTAGAAAGGTAGAAATATTAAAAATTAATACTAGGTCAATAACTTAAATTTAATAAGTGTATGTTAAATAAATGCCCATAACTTGCTTTCCCTGTCGAGTTTTTAGTTGCGGCACAGGAAATTGTACAGTGTCATGACTATTAAAATTTTTAAATTTGTCTAGTTTTCCCTTATTCTTAACAGCGTCTAGACATTACAAATATAACAAAGTACAAATGCTGAGTCAGGGGAAAATGGACATAAACAGGAAAAGCGTAGTTCATTGGACTGGCGGCTGTCTCATTAACAAAACAAAATGACTGAAATTGCAAGAAAGCGTTTTTTAGAGCCACACGACAATCCGAATTGAGCAGAACAGTTCTGTGGTTGATAAAGTACGGATCGTTTGTGTAAGCACTTACTTATGTTCGCTTTGATTAAACTACCAAAGAAAAAATATGCCTTGAGCCGGAACATTCTACTATCTTATCAGCAGCATTTGTGACCGCTGTTATCGGAAGCGGAAAAGCTCGCTCACGCTTTCACTCAGCAGTTCCACTCGGAGTTACGAGTAACAAATAGCCCGCCCCACGGATTTTGGGGTTGTCCACCCACCGGAGTGTTACAAGTATCCAAATTGCGAGTGGAAAAAGAACTCGAGGGGTTGGATTGGTATGTTTACAACGGAGGCCCCACTTTCACTCGCGCGCTCTCCCCAAATCGAAATCGTGCTCTTCCCCGGCGCCCCAATTTCTCTTCACAGTCGCGTTTTACCGAATTCACTCATGCTAACACATTCAAATTTGGTATTTCTGTTACCAAAAGTTTTTTTTTAATAAATATTCAGAAATTTTTGTTTAAAATTTTTAAAAGAATTTTTAGGCGTATTATTTTCGATCGCATTTCTATTTATATTTAGTGCACAAACCACTGCGGATTAACTTGCATATGTACATAGTTTAATTAAATTATATTAAATATACGCAAATAGATTTTTCTTCGTATTATTGCAGTTACTATTAGTTTTGTTTTGAGAAACTATTGGTTTCAAACTTTTTTTTTTAAGTCTATGAAAAAAGTTTAAAAAGTAGACTTTCAAAAATTTGTTACTTTCAATAGGTGCTAAAAGGGTTAAGAATATTCTTGTATCATTCAAACGGAAATGAGATGACCTTTGCATTGATGTCAAAATGTACAAAAAGTAAGTTCAAATTATGAGTATTCTTATACAAACATTTTTTCGTTTTGTAAAAATTTTTATGATGAACCAATTACACGATTTTTTAAGGATTAGTTTCTATTTTCAAATCTCAGATTTATATATCTTATCCATTAAATCCACTGTTAAATGGACTAAATTCGCTGTTGGTGATGAGTTCTCTGCAGAGAGAACTTTGGAGCCCAAGTTACCAGGAAACCCACTCAATGAATGAGCACAACAGATTGGGAGAGAGATTGGGATTGAAAGCGACTGAGTTTTGAGTTCTACCGGCGAACTATTTAAGCAACGCTCATTTGCTCATTGCATTTCAATGTGTTTTCGTTTGCCATTAAAAAATAACACGAAAATCATCGGTACCCGAAAAACAGTCGCACCTCAAATCACGACAAGAATTTCGGTTTTCTTGGAAAAATATAGTGTTCTTATAAGATTTGAATACGTAAAATGTTCACAAGCCTGTAAAATCAGTATTTGTTTTGAAAAACGTGCTAACGGTTCATTTGTTCGTGCGAATCGGAACGAATCGGGTGGAAGTATTCAACATAAATTTCGACGATCTGAAACAAATATACATCCATCCAAATCAAAGGAGGCGGATTATTAGGATCCACTTATTAGCCAATTTCACGCGTAAGTTGTCGACGAAAATACATTTTTATTTTCGCCTTTAATTATAGTAAACCCCTGTGGCATTTACTTTGCCGCCAAATGTTTTCCATTTCAAGTTCGCCCAGAATAAAACAAGAGAAATTCACAATAAACTATATATATATATTTGTCGGACATCGGTCCGTAGTGTTTCCCCACGAAGGCACACACGTCCTAATTAAAT